CGCAAAGCACAGAGTCACCCCTCCTCCCCTCGCTGCTGCCCGCACCATGCAGGCCTCTTAGCAAACCTGTCCCTTTCAGGAGCAGCTTTCTCTGCCCGCTTGTGTCTATGCAAATGTCCTTTATTCTTCTCTCCTGTTTACAATAAACCTGCCCTTTTGGATACAGCGAATGTCTCTGTATCATGGAGAGACTGGCCTGGGAATCTCGCTGGGTGCTGCTGAAAAGGGAGAGCTGGTGAGACTTTTCTCAGAGTTAACTCAGGGACCCGACTCTCCAAGCCCAACATGCCAAAAACGACTTCAGTATCATTACCAAAATTAAAATCCAGGCCCCCGTTCCTTGCCCAGCAGGCAAGTTGGGGAGGCTTGAATGGATAAAGGGAGTGGACGGGACCCCGTGGAACCGGGACATGAAGCCGAGGATCCTCTCTGCTCATTCAGAGCATCATCAGGACATGCCCAAGACTAGTCTCCCCACCGGCCAGATGCCTGGGGTGTCATAGGCCCAGGGCCCTCACTCTGTGCTGCAGACCCTCCTGTCTCACCCCCTGCTCCTCCTAGCCGTGTGTTTCAGTAAATGCTTGGAGCGGCAGGAAGCGTCGCTGCAGGATCTCTATGACCCGAGCAGACGGGGCAAAGGAGTCAGTCCTGGAGCCCTCAGTGGCTTTTCAGGCTCTTATTGGGATTTACTAGGTACAGAGCAGGCAGGGGTGCTGGGGGGGATTGAGGCTGCCAGCCTCCCAGCCCCCAGCAAGTCTTCACTCTTTCTGGGCTCTCCTGGCCTTCTCTGGTGGTCTCTGCTGCTCTTTCTCTTTCGCTCTCGTTCTGCCTCTCTGCTCTCTGCTTTTCTCATGCGTCTGCTCCTCCTGGCGTCCCCGTGACGCCGCCCCTATAAGCCCCGTCTCTCAGCACAGGTGTGCCCACTCACACACGCCCACACCCTACTCCAGGTGCCCGCCCTCAGGCATGCACTCAGGACCGCAGGGATCCATCATCAGTCCTGCCGGCGGGAGGGCAGAACAGCCTGGTACGTTCTGACCTACAATGCACCTGCGCTCTTCTCTGCTCTGTCTCTGCTGAATTCACCCCCCCACCCCGTGCCTCATGCCTACACCAGGTTCTCCCCCACAACAAGCTCGATGTGTTGAAAACGGTGTTGAATAGTTAAAATTGCATTTACCTTTGACCTACAGGCTGCCTTTCCTAAGGTAAAAATAGTTGCTTTCTTACTTGGTTTGCTCATTTCCCGTAAGGACAGTCACACTTTCCCGTGCTGATAGCGCTGAGACCACCCCTAGGCCTCCAGGGAGGCCCAGAACAGCATTTCACAGTGAACAGTTTTCACATTTGTGTGGCCTGTGATTTATAGTCACCTTGGTGCTGGGGTCACCTCTCCTCATTGGGGGACATTCTCTGATCAGGGAAGAGTCTCCTGGGCCCTGACCCCATCTGTAGGGAAACAGGCTGGGCAGCAGCCGTGAACCATGTGGTTCTGGAGCTTTGGGACATTTTCACAGCCTTAGTGGGCACCCCGGGGTGTCTGTCACTCAGCTTGGAGCTATAGGGACCCCCCTTTCCAGGAAGGGTTGTTACTGCAATAGTAACATTTGTGTTTTTTCTCCTTCCATCATCCAAAGGAGGGAAGGAAGACTTTTGTGTTCTCTGGACTCAGGGAACTCTCAGGAACAGGAACAGGAACAGGTAGCCTGAGGCACTGGCTGGGGCCTGTTGGGAAAGTGCCCTCCCGTGATGGGGTCTGGAGGCCTGTGGCCTGGGGCCGCAGGAGGGGACAGAGAGCATCCCCTCCACAGTGAGGGCTCCAGGGTCCCGGGGACTGAGATCGAGTCTTCCTATTGTGAACCAGTTTCTCACTTCAGGCAGCAGCTTTGGGTCCAGAAATCCATCCTCCAACCGGTCCCTGACCGTCCGCCAGGAGCCCTGTCATCTCTCTCTGAGAAGGGACAGACACTGCCGCAGCCCTCCACAGCCACCTCGCCTCCGCTCACGCAGAGCTTTCCCTGCAGGTCACCCACACCAGCGTTCGGGGGAGCAACTCTGACCATCAAAGCTCGTGGATCCCTCCCTCCCTTCTATACACAGGGGTTAGAGGAAGGATGTAACCTGCTGTACTGAACCTAAAGTCTAACCACTGCCACTGCCTTGTCTTCCAGCATGTTCCAAGGCTGTGCTCCTCGTCCACTTGAGCTGTCCCTGACCTGAGAGAAGTTTTTGGGTTAACACTGCCCCCTCATGGTCACAAGTGATACGACACATCCCTCTTTGGCCCCCTCAGCTCGGCGCTGGGCCTCACTTTCCCAGCGTCATGAGTCAGGTGTGGGGTGAGGAGGATAATTTACCTTGCTAAGAAGTGGCTAGTTCTTCAGGGGTTGAGGATCCCAGCTTGAGAACCCCTGCCCGGGGTAAGTGCTCTGCTTTGTGGGTGCTGAGGGACCAGCTCCTGCCCCGGAAGCTATTGATCAATTTGTTGAAGGTTCTGTCAGCAGGTGCCTCCAATGGAGGGGAATGAAATTCTAGTTGGAATAGGAGGGGCCTGTGGTAGCAATAAGGCAGGCATGTGAACTCACCTGGAGGCCAGCGGGGCCTGACTCTAATTTGGGGTGCACAGAGTGCCTAGTTGTTTATTGAGGTCACAAGCCTGCTTGTTGTGGCCTTGATTTCCTGGCATGGCTCAGACTGGGGTCCCTATGAGGCACCCTACGCTGTCAGGACCCAGGAATGAAGTCTCAGTCTTGAGGCCCCGCCCCTCCTGGTGCCTGTACCTACCTGGCACCTTCTCCTGGGCCCAGCACACTGCCTCCTGCAGCTTCTTTCAGGTCCCCAGTCCCCAGGAGCGGAGCCTCCTGTTCCTGCTCAGCATCCCTCCTGCCCTGGGGGATGGGACATCTTCAGGGCCCCTCATTTAGCCCCTGGGGGCTCCTGCCTCACACAGACCTGCTCATCTCTGAACACCTGAGCTCCTCACCCCTCCTGTGGTTCCAAGTCAGGGTCCGCCTTCTTCTGTGTTGGGGAGACCAGTGTTGTTCTCCCTGCTTCTAGGAGCCACCCATGCCCTGCTCTGGAATCCTCCATGCTCCAACTCCACTGAGCCATCCTGCCCGCCTCAGCCTGTGGCCTCCAGGCCCAGACATGCACTGGGTCCTGCGCACCTGCTGGCTGGTCCCCCATCTCCCTTGGGAGGTCCAGGGGACCCATATGAGGTTCTGCTTTCTGAGAATTCAGTTGTCTGAGGCCTGAAATTTTGCCTACGATTAAATATTTGAGAGGGAGAGACCACATTCACAACTTTTATCACAGTATATTGTGATAGTGTTCTATTTTGTTGTTAGTTATTTAGTACTTCTATGCTTAATTTATACTAATAAAACTTATTGTAGGTATATATGGGTAGCTTACACAGCTTGTACAAGTTTGTGAGAAATAAATTTTCAGACATCACCTCGGGAACTTGATCACCTCCTCCCCACCCCCCACACAGGATGAAATAGGACTAGAGTATCTGACCCCACCATGGTCCAAATGGAGGGACAGTCTGTGCTCCTATTTGTAACCAGGCCCTGACCTAGACAGAGCGAACTGTCTCTGTAGAGAGTTTAAACTTCAAAGTTTGGCTGTTCTGTGACTCAGGTCTGTTCCTGCCTCGGTTTTCCCCCTGCCTGTTTCCAAGGTGGGGGGGTCTGGATTCCACACCTGTTTTTAATTACCTATGAATCACTCCAAGCATTTGTTTTTGGTTTCCAAAGCCTTCCCTGTGCTCAGCAGCGGCCCCCATTATCACCATCCCTATCGAGTCTCCCTGCCTCGGTGAAGGGTCCTCATTTCCCCAGAACCCTGTCCTGTGCCTGCTTTTCTATGACCCAGTCCTGGTGCCAAGGCCTCAGCTCCAGGCCTCGGGAAACAACCTCCATGTGAAGATGAGCAGCAGGGAGTGCATGGGGGAGCTCCTGGCTCACACACCCTGAGGGGAAGATGGGGTACAGGGGGATACAGGCAGAAACTGGGCTCCAGGGCCCAGCTTTGGTGAGCAGATGGGTCTTTAACCCACTGACCAGTCAAGGGTGTGGGCTGCCCAGAGAGGAGGCATGGCCTTGGTCAAGGGGATGCTCTTCAGCTGAGGCCATTCCAGAGAGGCCTGTGCTAAGGGCCCTGAGCTGCCCACACCCAACAATAAGAAGAGGAATCCTACATGAGAGGCAGGCAGGTGACCTGATAGACGTTTCTAAAAAGAAAACCAAGAAATGGTCATAAATGACATAATCCTATGAGCCTTGTCTAGAAAGGTGGCAGAGGATGAGAAGTTAAAAGTAAATAATACACAGTCCCCAAGGATTAGTGTCCTGCTATCAGGGCCCAAAGTTGTGGCACTACAAAGAGAGAGAAACCAGCCCTGACACTCCATATGCAGGAACCTGCCCCTGTAGACTTGCCAGAAAAAAAACAGACCACAGCGGGGACTAGAAGGAGAGTGGGGCTGTTCTGTGGGGTTGGAAGGGATTTCCCAAGCTGCTCGGTAGACACTGCAGACCTGGGATCCAAGGAGGGGAGGGTGGAGACTCCATGGTTGCACTGGGGTAGGGTGTGCAGGGGGCTCAAGGCAGAGAAAGGTGCTGGAGCATGTGGGGAGGGACAAGCCTGCCTGGGTGGCCCTCTTGGTCCCAGGGCCCACCCTGCTGGGAGAGGACTGCATGGCCTGGCCTGGAGCACTCCTGCCACCCCACAAAGCTCCTTGGACCAAGTCATCTGTCAGAAGACCAAAGACCAGGCTGAGAAATGAGGCTGCAGCAGGTGGTCCTGGACTCCACCCCAGGGGCCTCCTGAGCAGCGAGGACCAGACCCAAAGGCCTCAGCTCCCTGAGAAACAGGGGCTGCTGGGGCTCTGCAGCCTGGAAAGGGAGGGTCACGCCGCCCCCTGGTGGGTGACAGGGACACTGCAGCCACCTCCCCCAGGTCACACACACACAAGCAGTCAGGGCTGCTTTATAAAGACTTTTATTGGGGACGCTGCACTTGGGATGGGAGGATTAAGACTCAGTTGTTGGCCAGGATCTCCTCAATCCAGGGCATGAACTCAGTGACACGGGTACACACAGTGGGCACGGAGATGAAGCATGTGTCACTGGCCCAGGACACGACGCCCACCAGGTTCCAGGCTCCATCCTTCTGGCAGACCAGGGGGCCGCCAGAGTCGCCCTGTGGGAGGAGAAGCACCTGTCTGTAAGTCTGAAAGGGGTGGCAGGACCATTCTGTGAGCCAGTCTGACCGAGTCAAAGTGGTACCCAAGTGACAAGTAGGAGCAGTGGTTGAGCACTGGAAACTTTCATGTGTTAGGGTGGCAGACCAGACCCACCACCTGTGCCAGAGGGGTCTGAGGATCATCTGTAAAAGGGCTAAAACATACAAATCAGGGGTAGGTATGAATGTGCAGGTCCTGAGGATTGCCTCCAGGTCTGGCTAGAGCCATTCTGTCTGCGGCACCTGTGAGTGCTGGTCCTGGCTTCTCTAAACATAGGCCAAAGGGTGAGGGTAGGTGAACCAGGGGGCAAGAAATGGCTGCACCAGCCCCTGCCTACAAAGCAAGACAGATTACCAAGGGGGCAGCGTAGAGCAGGCCATACCTTGCAGACAGTGATGCGGTTGCCCGCTGCACAGACCATGGAATCAATGATGTCGCTGCCCCAGGATCTCATACACTCGGCATTGGACAGGAGGGGCATGGTGGCCTGATGCAGCTTCATGGGTCCTGCACCTGGAACAAAAGAGAGGCCGGGAGGGGGTCAGGGCCCGGCGCCTCTAGCCCACCCTGGGAGGAGAGGACAAGACACAAGATTGCTGCCCTCCCTGATCCCCCTCTTCTATCGCTATTATCAGGGTGCGGGAACACAAGGCCTGTACCTCCTTAAACCTTAGAAATCTCAGGGGTACCCGCTTTCTGATTTCACTGCAGTCGGTGCTAAATTTGCCGCAAGCACAGTTGGTGAAACCAGCCCTGCCTGCCCAGCCTGCTCTGGGGAAGGACCAGCCAGGTAGCCCTGGCCTGGGAAGGACGCAGGACACTGGAGGAGACTATCACACAGGGGCAGCCCCAGGAAGGGGCGCCAGGCTGGACTCTCGGGTCCCTGACCACACCCTGGATACCTCTGGATACCTGAACCCCGCCCAGGTCTGGAAGGAGGCCCCAACTCCAATCCTTGAGGCCTGGGGGACTTCAGCGCTGCTGGGGTCACTGTGGACAGGTGCAGGTGGTGAGTGGGGCGGGGCCTGCTGGGACTGAGCTGTGTCTCAGAACCTGACCCTGCAAGGCCATCATGGACCTCGTGTCCATTCATTTGGGTGGGTTTTCTCTAAGTGGGTTGTAAATAACACAGCGGAAACATTTATGACACTGTCCGTTGTCATAAACTCAAAGAGCAGAGTTACATGGGCCCCCCTGCTGCACAGGTAGACCAGACCCCCCTCCTGGTGACAAGGCCAAGGTCACTCACCTTGGTAATGTGTCCTGCCCCAGCCCGTGGTGACGCACAGGGACCCGGCGGTGAAGTTGTCCTGAGCACTGGGCAGGCACACGGGGGACACGACGCTGGAGAAGCGCGCAGGCGTGGCCAGCTTCACCAGGGCGATGTCGTTGCTGGCGGTGGTGACATTAAAATTCGGGTGGTCAAACACCTGTGGGTGAGGTCAGGGGGAGGAGGTGAGCTGTGGGATCCACCAGGGATCTGCAGGTTTGACGAGACAAACGCCTTCCTGGTGGGAATCAGAGGACACACCAGGGGCGCCTGAGGGAGACTCTGAGGCCCATCTGCTGCCTCGTGTCTCTTCCACGTCCTGCCCCAACCCCCAGCCCGGCGTACCTGAGCAATCCTCAGGACCTGCATATTCTTCTTCGTCTTTGATCTCCTGTCAATCACACCAGCCACAACGTTGTGGAATGTGCTAGAGGAGGCAGATGGAGTGAGGAAGGAGGTCACGCCTGCTCCCCCACCCCCACTTTTGAACCTCCTTGGGCCTCACCGGACTTTACAGTGGGCGGCAGTGACCACCCAGGACTCGTTGATCAGGGACCCCCCACAGTAGTGGAAGCCAATGCTGTCCTGGAGGAAGAAGGAGAGTTAGTGCTGGCAGGACACACCACACCCCCAGACAGAAGCCCACAGCCCTGGACACCTAGTGCAGGGTGACCCCACTCAGATGCAGACTTTCTCACCAGCAGAGACACCTGCCAGGGCCAGGAACCAGGGACAGCTGTTTTCCCATTGACGATCCTCTTTATGCCACTCACAACTGGGGGAATGGCAGGGACCCCACAGCCTGGAGGGGAGAGGGGGAAGAAGAAGGGCTGAGGACCCACTCGGTCTGAGATCTGCTTTCCAGCTCAGCTATTACTGCTCCCACCTCACACTCCCCTACTCCAGGAAACATTCCCAGGCACCCCAGTCCCAGGTTGGAGGCCCCACAAACACAGATTGCTGTCCCCAGTCACCCCTCCAGGGATGCAGAGGGACAGGCAGCTCCATCCGGGTCACCCTGCCCAGAGGAGCAGAAACAGGCTGAGGAATCAGGCCTCCCTGCCACCCGCTACCTTCTGGAGACCTCAGCCCCCGCTGACTCTCCCAGGCTCATTTCATCCCAGAAATGGGAGCAAACACTGCTGCCCTCACAGGCAATGCTTGCCAAAGGGATTGGTGTGGACAGGAGGTATGGGATCAAAAACCCATGGGAACCCCAAAGCCATCAAAAACCCATGGGAACCCCAAACCCATGGGAAATCACCCCTCTCTCCTTTCCTGAGAGATGTGACTGTCCCATTCACACTGCTGGACTCTCTGCTGGCATTTCAACAACTCTTCATTGAATCCACTGAAGCTTCTAATTATTGAATAAGACATGACCTTGATCTCTACCATAAAGACACATCAAGGAAACAGAAAACAGAGGACGAGGTTGTGCAGAACAAGGAGGACACGCAGGGACCTTGACATGTGCAGACACACTTGCTGGGTCAGGACACAGGATCCTCAGCAGCTCCCAGGGGTGTGAGTACTTGGCCACAGGAAGAAAGGGGGGCAGGGCCCGCCCCTCCCACCAGCCAGGCCGCCCCCAGGGTCCCCCAGGCCTTGCTCTAGGCAGCTTCTGATGCTGTCTGGGGACAAGGACATGGCCCCGCCACTCCCTCAAACCAGTGTCTCCAAACATGTCGTCTCCTCATCTTTTCTTATAAGAACAGAAAAACCACCAGCAGGAGCTGTGAGGGGCTCACCCTGCAGAGGCTTCATAGTAATGGAGTGGGGGGCCGGGTCCCCTATGCTGGTGGAGACTGAAATCTGGCCCCACAGGAGTGGGGCCAGCAGGTGTGACAGGGACGGGCAGGAAATACAGGGAGGAGCTTCCCCCACTGAGCCCTGGTTCTGGTTATAAACAGGGAGTGAGGGTGTGAAGCTGCACAGAAGTGACAGGCAGGGGCTCAGCAGAGGCCCCTTCCCAGGAGAGGGGGAGCAGGGAGCTGCTGGGCCCAGTGTGGGTGTCAGAGAAATCCCTGAAGCAAATAGGGAGAGGTGAAGGTGATATTTGCTAAATCCTGAGAATGATCCTTGTACTACTATTGCATTATTATTATTATTATTATTATTATCATTATTATTATTTTAACAGACACCAAAGCACTGAGTAAGTGCTTGGCACTAATAAACCCCTCACAGCCTTTGTGCCCACAACCCCACATGAGCCTCCTCTAGGGCCTCTGTTCTCTGAGGAGCCCAGATGCTTCTTACTGAGGCTGGGCAGAGCGTTGAGGGCTCAGAAAGCCCTAGAAGCACCCCTCTCTCTCCTCCTGCAAATCAGGTCGCCTGTCTGGTCTTGAAGCCCAGTGTGCAGGGAGGGAACTCAGAGCTCCCCTCACCTGGTGCCTGGTCCTCCCCAAACTCAGCGAGTCCCTTGTGATGGGGCCAGGCTGAGTCCATCGGGGGCTGAGTCCTCCTCCCCAGTCTGTCCCAGGCATGGCTGGTCCCTCAGACCCTACCACACTCACCAAAGGCGGCCCCGACGAGGGTGATGCAGGAGAGAAGCCAGAGGAGGGCCATAGCTGTGCAGGGGGAGAGCAGTGGGGCTGCCTGCTCAGGGGCTCTTTTTATATCTTGGTGTCCCCAAGCCCTGCCCAGGCCTTCTCAGCCCCCACTGACCTGGGGCCTCCCTCCCAGTTGTCATCTAAGGATCTAGGATGATCAGGAGCCTCCAAACGTGTGCAGGCCTGTGGCCTGGGAGCAGGGCCGCTGCCTGGCTCACAGACACCTGTCAGCTGGTAACTCCTGGATCAAAGAACCCAGCTGGTCTCCCTTGGAGGGATCCTGACTCCATCATGGAGGCAGCTTGTGCTCAGCAAAGACTCTATAATAGGGGAACCTCATTGAGGTGTTCTGGGGCACCCAGAACTGAGCACCCAGGAGCTGAATTTCGACACAGGCCACAGAGCCCAGGACTTCAGGCTGCTTCTCTATCTGCTCAGGGAAACTCCCTGAGGCAAGGAAAATTTACTAGACAAGGAAGAGGTTCTGGTCCCTGCTGGGGTGGAGGCAGAACCAGCATAGAAAAGGCAGTTTCTGAGCACATGAGGACCAGAGGGGATGGTCCTCAGGACCCCCTTCTCTCCCCCTCAATGCTGAGGGGTTCTTTGATCCAGGAGTTACTGGCTGATGGTGTGTGTGTGCCAGAAAGCTCCTGATCTCAACACCTGGGCTTCCCAGGTTGAAGCACTCTATCTCTGGTGAATCTTCTCACCACCCTGCACCTCTGGCCTGCACCCCAGCTCTTGTATGTATAAATAAATCTTAAAAGAAAAGAGCTGGGGTGTAGGCCAGAGGTATGTGGGGTGAGAGGATTCACCAGAGAGAATAGGTGGCAGAACAGGCAGATCTACTGGGATACACTGCTCAGGGTAGCAGCGGGAGGGACAGGAGAGGTCTGCTGTGCCATAGGATTAGCTCCCTGGGTGGTCGGGATTGAACTCATGCTGCAGTGGCTGGTGATAGCTTGAGAGGGCTGAGACTTTAATCCCTGTGCCACCAGGGTGGACCTGGGCTGTTTTATTTTATTTATTTATTCAAGATTTATTTATTTATGCATACAAGAACTGGGGTACAGGCCAGAGATGCGGGGGGGTGACAGGATTCACTAGAGACAGAGTGGGGAGAAGAACAGGCAGACTGACTGAAACACACTGCTGAGGGGAGCAGTGGGTGAGTCATGAGAGGTCTGCTGTGCCATGTGCGTTGCACCTGGCCGCCTGGGGAGCAAACTCATGCTACAGAGGCTGTGGATTGCTTCATAGTGTGGTGCTTAACCCCTGCGCCACCAGGGAGACCCTTGGGCTGTTATTTTAAATGACATATTTTTTGCTATTATGAGGTAATACAGGTTCATTACAGAACATTTCAAAAATGCAGGCAATATTGAGTAAGAGAAAAACTAGATCCCTCCATGACACCTACCTGGCCTGAAATGTCAACTCTGTACATCTTAACTGTGGACATTTTAGTGTGGTGACACCGCCTGAGGAGAGCTGTCACCTACTCCCCTAAATTATATACAGTGCTGTAAACTGTAGATACCCCAGAAAATTACAGAAGAAAAATAAAAATGCAGTTTTTCTTGTGAAAAATAAAATGAAATTCTTCCCATTCATTTAAAAACTCAAATGAACACTTACGACCGAGATTTACCAACACTGTGGTATATTATCTAGATAATTCCACAAAGTTGGATCTGGAAATGAAAAATAAATATTTTGTTGTTGCCCGTGTGTACAACGCATCGGAGTGTAAGGTCTATATTTTTCATTAAGGTTGAGTGTGTATTATGTGTGTCACTGTCCTGCTGCCCACTGGACCTTATGCTGTGAGCCTTTTTCCAGGATTGGGAGTCACGCCCTGTCCTGGCAGCCCAGAGGACGGTGACTGAACAGTCCCCCATGGAGCCTTCCTCATGAGGGAGCCCCATGGACATGGGGAGCCCCTCTTGGGTTGGTCAGCAACAGCACCCCAGCTCCTGCTCGGGGCCAGAGGGCAGTGCTGGTCAGTGAGGAGGGACAGTGGTCATGGACAGGGAGTGCCTGATCTAAGGGACGTGGGCACCAGGGAGAGTCTGATGTGGACACGCCAACTGGACTGGAGGCCCCAGGGAGGACAGACAGGGAAGCAGCTGGAATGTGCTACAGTCCCCTCTGGGGCTGTCTCCACAGAGCCCAGGCTGTCTCCACAGGCCCGCCACGCTGCCCTCTGTCCTCTTTCCATCTGGCTGGGGACCAGACGGGATACGGGAGCCTCAGGCCATCTGGAGCCAGAGGGAGCAGCCAGTGTGTGTGGGTACAGGAGGCAGAGACATGAGGGGTCCAGAGGCACCCTGGGTACTACCCCACCCAGCCCCCACCTTGGATTCTGTCCGGGGAAGCATGAGCTCCCTTCCGTTGAAGCCTCAGGCAGGTGGAGCTGGGTCAGCCTGTCCAGATACCTAGGGTGAGTTTCTACTTATACCTTAGAATGAATTGTTGCAGCACAATGACAGGATGACAGAATCTGGATTTTTTTTTTTAAAGATTTATCCATTTATGCATACAAGAACTGGGGTACAGGCCAGAGGTGCAGGGGGGTTGAGAAGATTCACCAGAGACAGAGTGGGGCAAAACAGACAGATTGACTGAAATACACTGCTGAGGGGAGCAGCACGTGAGACAGGAGAGATCTGCGTGCCATATGGGTCAGCTCCCTGGCTGGGGATCGAACTCCTGTTGCCCAGGCTGTGGATAGCTTCTAGTGCTGTGTCTTAACCCCTCGTGCCACTGGGGAGGCCCAGAGTCTGGATATTTTTAAAGTTTTGGTGGTTACTGCTTTTTAGGGGGGCCACTAATAATTACCATCTAGGAAAACCCAACTCACCTCACCTGTGAAAATATGAACCCAGACTTTACATTTTTGTCAGTTCTGTGGTGGTATTTATGGAGCTTAAGAGTAGAAAAGTTGGGGCCTCTCCTGGTGGTGCTGGGCTGCGAAGCTGTCCACAGCCTCTGCAGCACAGACCGGTGTTTGATCCCCTGCCGCCGGGTGAGGGTCCCACATGGCGCACAGACCTCTCCTGCCATCCGCTGCTCCCCTTAGCAGTGTACTTTGTCAGTCTGCCTGCTCTGCTCTCCACTCTGACTCTGGTGAATTCTCTCGCCCTCCCGTGCTTCTGACTGTACCCAGTGCTTGTACAAATAAATAAATAAATATTAAAAAAAAAAAGAGTAGAAAAGTTGGAAAGGAGAGACTATAAGACCAGAGACGGGGCTCATGTAACGCAGGGAGCTAGAGGTACGGGTGGACGTGATTAGCAGAGTCATTGAACTGGCTATAGAAATGAAAAATCCTTCAGGCCAACCTTTAGCTCAGGAGGCACAGACCTAAGCTGGCACCAGACTGCTGCAGGAGTGTCACAGGGGGTGACCAGAAGGAAGGATATGAGTTTGAGAACATAATTATTCAAAAGAAACTGAAGTTAACAACTCCACAGAGGAAAGAGCCCTCCCAGACTGCAGAAGCCTCTCAGGGCAACGTCTGCACTCGCCCTTCTGGCTGCCTGTGACCTGTGACCTTTGACCTAGCTGGGGTGTCTCTTCACTGACCGTCTTTCTCTGCAAAGCAGGAGAGTCATCTCTCCTTCCCTGGCTGCCTGCCCATGACCACGCAGGCCTCTTAGCAGCCCTCCACAGCCACCTCGCCTCTGCTCACACAGAGGTACCCCTGCAGGTCACCCCCACCAGCGTTCAGGGGGCACAACTCTGACCATCAAAGCCCGTGGAGCCCTCCTTCCCTTCTATACACAGCAGCTATGGAGATGCCCTGGGTGACCGCCAGCAGCCACCTTGTGACCCTGAGGACAAGGAGATTCTCACCCAGAGCCGTGTCCACCACCATTACAACAAGTCTCCACTGGGGGAAACTCTGCTCCTGCTGTTTGTAATGTCGCCTGCATTTGATCACAAAAGCATCTGAAGACAAAAATGGCGACAAGAGGCGCGTCCCTCCAGTGCCTTCTCCACCCACAGGCACCAGCATCTGAGCTGGGGGCCACGTTGCAGGAAGGAGAAATCATGCCCCTGGGACCAGCCAGTGGTACCCTGTGGGTGTCCAAGCAGGAGAAACTGATTGTGGACCAAGTCCTGTTAGTCATAATCAGAGATTAGAGCTTGGGGAGAGAGCTCAGAGGCGGCCAGCAGGGAGGCAGGGTCATGGCTAAGGGCATGCTGACAAGAGACATGATCCAAGAGGATGTTTTGCCCAATTATCGTCTTTCTAAAAGCAAGATTCCCCAGTGGTCTGGGAGGGGCAGGGCCTTCAGCCTTAACCCCAGGCAGGGCTGCGAGGTCCTCCCGCGAGTGTACGGGACCCAGCACGACTCCCGTCTCTAAACTCAACCTCCCTTGTTCTGTTTCCCTCCTGGAGGTTTGCCCCTTTCTAGAGACTCTGCAGCTCCTCTGCCATGACCAGAAGAGGGTCCTGTCTAGCCTGTGTTTGTGGGGACCTCCCTCTTCTCCTGCTGGGCTCCTGTGTCAGTTTATTTGCAGCCTGTGCACCAGAGGGCCGGGGAGGGAGCACCTCCCCCCAACACCACCACAGACAGCACGACAGCGCAGCGCAGCTGCACTGCGGGGCAGCAGGGAAGGATCCAGGGCCCTGTGGGAAGGGTCAGGCCTGTAAGTCACCGAGTCCTGGCAAAGGGGTTGATCCCCTCACAGGCAGTGCCCTCAGGAAGCCCATCCAAGTGACATCCCTGCCCCTGCTTTCTGTCCTGCAAATATTGCCACTGGCTGGCGCTGTACCTGCCCAACACAAACCCACCTGGCACCGGGACTGTGCTCCCACACATGTCCTCTGCCCGCACAGGTGGGTGCCAGGATGCTCATTGGCCTCCCTGAGACACCCCTCAGCCCAGGCTGTACAGGGGCCCAGTATCCCAGGTGCTTGCAGGGGCCCATGGCGCCTGAGGTGCCCCTGAGCCCTGAGCACCCAGAGACTCTCAACACTTTATTCCACCAGCAGCAGAAACACCAAAGCAACCAGTCCTGGGGTCGCCCCCGACACCCAGCTCTATGAGGGCGTACACCTCACCTGTGTCAGGGTCCCTACTAGATAGTGACAAGGGTGGGCGCACCTGAGGGAGGAGGCATTATCAAGGGACTCACCCACCTTTGAACCCCACTCCTCACTGGGGTGGAGACCATCTCAGATGACAGGGTCCCCTCAGGAGTTCACTGCTGGACGTGCCCCGGCCTCCTCCCCAGAGATGACACCCAGGACAGACAGGTCCACACAACACCGACCTTCCTGCACCCCAGAGGGAGAAGCAGCCACTACGGGACCCACTTGTTAGAATACACGCCCTGGTCTCTCCATCGCTCATCTACCTCCAGGCCTGGAGCCTTCAGCTGGGGCGATGCTTACAGCCTGGATGAGGCTGCTGCTCTGTATTATTACGGGATGGGCTGCTCTCACCCTGCTAGATGGGCGCTGCTGGTCAGGACCTGCCCCTGATGGACCCGACCTGCTCCCCAGGCTGTGGAGGCCCCACCATGACAGAGCCCTGTGTCTCAGGGGACGGCAGGGGACGCCCCTGACATTGGGCATTTTAATTGTCAGCTGGGGGCCTGGTTTCAGCTGACACCAACACCACCAATATAAAAGAACCTTAGGGGTCTCATCTACTCCATTGCCCCACCTCATTGTGTGCCCACTGGCCTGCCTGTCCCCTCGGCCTGGTGAGGAGTGACTTTGCTGTGTCTAATTTCCTGAACGCTGTTGCTGGTGGGGACGTACAATCCTCACGAGACGCTCAAGGGCCTTTCCCACTTATGGGCGTTTCCTGGGAGCTCAAGGAGGGTCCAGGTAAGTAACCTTGGTTACCAGCACAGACAAGAACCTAGAAAAACATGATTCATTTGTAAATTAAATAACATGCTCAAAATAAACTGGGTAAAGAGGCGATCACATGAGAAATTATGAAGATGAAGTAAAGAACACAAAAATACCACCATCCAAATGTGGGGGGAGCTGCTAACTCAGCAAGAACATCGATAAACAGAAACGCTCTCATGGGCAAGGGAAGGGTCAGGGCCCTACAGTTCTGGATTAATAAGAGAAACAGAGCAAAGAAATACCGTGAGGATCGATGGACCTAGGGATGAAGGGAGCAGACGTTTCCTCAGAAGACAAACCAGCCTTGAGTGGCTGGGAAGCCCGAAGGTTTGGGGTTGGAGGAAGGTCGTAACCTGCTGTCCTGAACCTAAAGCCTAACCACTGCCACTGCCCTGTCTTCCAGCATATTCCTGGCTCTGCTCCTTGTCCTGACTGCCAGCAGGTTCCAGAGAGCTCAGAGGCTCCCCTGGGCTGCTCCTGATCTGCGAAGCTTTTTGGGTAATAACCCCTGCTCGTGGCCACAGGTGAAACGACACATCTCTCTTTGGCCCCCTCAGGGCCGATCCACCCAGGGAGGCTGGGCCTCTTCCTCCTGAGAGGCCACTGTGTTCTCAGTCCAGCTCACGGCTCTTACCCCGAGCGGCTTCAGAATCGCTCAGAAGCTGCTTTCAAACGGCGCTGGGCCTCACTTTCCTAGTGTCTGAGTCAGGTGTGGGGTGAGGAGGATAATTTACCTTGCTAAGAAGTGGCTGTTTCTTCAGGGGTTGAGGATCCCAGCTTGAGAACCCCTGCCCGGGGTAAGTGCTCTGCTTTGTGGGTGCTGAGGGACCAGCTCCTGCCCCGGAAGCCAATGATCAATTTGCAGAAGGTCCTGTCAGCAGGTGCCTCCCATGGAGGGGAATGAGTTCTAACTGGAACACGAGGGGCCCGTGGTAGCAAGAAGGCGGGCGCATGAACTCAGCCGGAGGACAAGAGGCCCTAACTCTAATTTGGGGTCCACAGAGTGCCAGGTTGTTTATTGAGGTATCAAGGCTGTTGGTCTGTGATCTCGATTTCCTGGCATGGGACAAATATGGGCTCGTGAGAGGTACCTCTATTCTGCCCCAGGGCTGCCATTCCTAAGGAACCAAGTCTCACTCTGCAGGCCCCTCCCATCCACTCCTGCTGGTACCTGTGCCCACCTGGCACCCTCTCCCAGGCCCGCACTCTTCCCTCCTCAGCTGCTGTCACTCCCCTGGCCTCAGAAGAGTAGCCTCCTGCTCCTGCTCAGTATCCCACATGCCCTGGGGGATGGGGCATCTTCAGGATCCCTGGTTCAGCTTTCTGGGGGCTCCTTCATCCACAGGACCTGCTCCTCCATGCCCACCTGAGCCTTAGCACCTGTCTTACAGCTCCCACACAGATCATGCCATTCTCCTTCCCAGGGGAGACTGGTGCTGCTCTCCCTGCTTATAGGAGCCATCCCGGCCCCTGTTCCACAATCCTTAGCACTCCCATGTGCTTTGTCCTGCTCTGCCCCTGAGCCTGCAGACTCCAGACCCTAAGGCCCAGGTGGTCCTGGCTGTTCCCCCAGCTCCCTTGGGAGGTACAGGGGTCCCCCATCTGAGGTTCTGCTTTCTGAAGTTTCATTTAACTCTGGTGTGAAAATATTAACTACAGTAGATGTCTGAGAGGAGGGGATTACATTTGCATACTAGAGTGGAGGGGGGTTCTGGAATAAAGGAATTGGGCAATGGGGGGAGGGTGTGGTGGAGAAATAATGGGCTTTGCAGTAGGGAGGGGTGGTTAGATTCCAGAGAGGAGGCATGAAGCTACAGCCCTAAAAGATACAGTGTTGTTAACCATGTTACCAATGCAAATAATTTCATGTAAAAAATGCAAGTGTAAGTAATAAAGGGATGGAAAGACTTCCATTTCCACGGACAGGAAGACCTAATATGGCTGAGCTCACTACCACCCAGCGTGATCTCCCTTTGGAAGCGATTCCTGTCAGAGTTGGCTGCGACACCTGTAGTGGCGGGAAGAGACAGTGCAGGATCTCTATGACCCAAGCAGACAGGTAAAGGAGAGTTGTGGAGCCCTCGGTGGATTTTCAGGCTTTTATTGAGCTTTTACCAGGTGCTCGGCAGGCAGGGACACCACAGGCCCAGGAGGCTGGCAGGCCTTCCAGCCCCTGGCGAATCTTCAGCTTTCTGGGCTCTCTGGCATTCTTTCTGGCTGTTCTTTCTCGTTCTCTCTTGTTCTGCTCTCTTTCTCTCTTCTGGTCCCGCTGGCGTCCCCATGACGCCGTGGTTATAAGCCCAGTCTCAGGCAAGGTGTGCCCACCTATGCACGCGCACACCTACTCCAGGTGCCCGCCACAGGCATGCATGTGGGACCGCAGGGCTGCATCATTGATGCTAATGATGGGAGGGCGGAAAAGCTTGATAATTTTTCACTTACACTACAACACCAAATGTGCAAGCAACTAAACTATAACATGGACACATCAACATTAAACCTCTGGGCATCAAAAGAAATATTTGCAAATCAGAGATGTGATAAGAGTTAAGTCTAAAACTGAACAACAAACATGGCAAGATTCTAACTGGCAAGCATTTGAGAATAGCTAACTCTTCAATATTTTCTCAAAGCAGTGCTATGAGTGGTCAACTTGACAAGTCACCGTGGCCTTTCCTGAGACACACACAGAGGAAGAGCTTTAGGCTCCCACGGGCCACAAAGACACAGACACGAGGACGGGTCTGACCTCAGACACCCAAGGGTCTGAGCCAGCAAGACGCAGGAGGGAGCACAGACATGTCAGGGCACTGTGTGGAGAAGAAACTATTTAAAAATGGAGAGAGGAAAATAATTTTGTCTGCTTTCATTAATTATATTGGTGTTGAAAATGTTAGTATTAGCCTGCAACTGTTTTGTATAATAAAGGAGAAAGCACGTAAATTATTATCGGATATTCTAGGGCAATCATTTCCTCAAAGATGAGGATGCTTGGTGTAGGATGGAAAACCTGGCAAAATTCCCTATTTACAGTTATTACTGCAAACTCTTGAGATTTGTGATCTTAAATTTATCTTTAAATAGTTCTAGGCTGTGTCCACTGGAAAGGTGTAGAAACAACCAATATACCATTTATGAGTGTCCCCGACACCCAAAGTATGGGCTTGAAATTCCATTTCTACTGAAACAAACCAGGGGATTTTGGAGAAATAGCTGATTCTGTGGATGACATTTTGTCAATCTACATAGAAAGGAAATGCTGAAGCCACGTGGCCGTGTCAAACATCCCAAAGCCAAATAGACAGTGTCTACCTGTCACCCGGCGGAGTTCAGCTTCACGAAGGATCATGCTATAAGGATGAGTCCTTTGTTTTGATCAGGAGTTTAAAATTTTTTTAAAACAAGAAAAAACTACAAAATTACTTCAGTACCTTGAAGGAGGACAGGGAACAAGTTCATTTTCTTCAATTAATAAAGGAAATGTGTAAAGGAAACAGGCTGAGCCTCTCCCCTGCACGTTCTATACCCAGGGACCACTGGGCTGTTGACTGTGGAGTCATCTCCATGAAAGGATTCCAGGCAACACACAGAAAAACATTAAAGTTAAGTTCCCACCATTGCTCAGAGAACAGATGCCCAGGCCTCAGGCATCAACATTGTTACCTTTGTCAGGGGGAGTTGTGAGTCCTGACACCTCCCGAGCAGGGGCCCAGTGCTACCTGCAGCCTAAAGGGACTGAGCCAGAGTCGATGGAGCCTCCAGATTCAACAGCCAAATCCCAGAGAAAACAGCCCAGAGCAGAGTGATGGGCACTTGGTATGTGGGGCTAGAAAGAGAAATTCCCAGCTACTCAGTTAGTTCAGAGTGGGTGGGAGGCGGGAAGGGTGGGGACTGCATGGATGGGCTGGGGTGGGGTGTGCAGGGGGCTCAAGGCAGAGAAAGGTGCTGGAGCATGTGGGGAGGGACAAGCCTGCCTGGGAGGCCCTCTTGGTCCCAGGACCCACCCTGCTGGGAGGTGGACTGCATGGCCTGGCTGGAGCACCCCTGCCTTCCACAAAGCTCCTTAGGCCAGCTGTTAAAGGAGCAGAAACCAGACTGAGCAACCAGGCTGCAGCAGGTGGTCCTGGACTCTACCCCAGGGGCCTCCTGAGCAGGGAGGCCCAGACCCAAAGGCCTCAGCTCCCTGAGAAACAGGGGCTGCTGGGGCTCTGCAGCCTGGAAAGGGAGGGTCATGCCGCCCCCTGGTGGGTGCCAGGGACACTGCAGCCACCTCCCCCAGGCCACAGACACACAAGCAGTCAGGGCTGCTGTACAGAGGCCTTTTTTTTTTTTTTTTTTTAAAGATTTATTTATTTATGCATACAAGAACTGGGTACAGGCCAGATGTGGGTGGGGGTGAGAGGAATCATCAGAGAGAGAGTGGGGAACAGAACAGGTGGATTGACTGAAATACACTGCTGAGGGGAGCAGCAGCCAAGTCAGGAGAGGTCTGCTGTGCCGTGTGGGCAGCTCCCTGGCCAGGTATCGAATTTGTGCTGCAGTGGCTGTGGATAGCTTCATAGTGCTGCATCTTAACCCCTTGCGCCGCGAGAGAGGCCCTTTACAGAGGCTTTTGTTGGCGAAACCAGGGATGGAGGAATTAGGACTTAGTTTTGAGTCAGAATTTCCTGAATCCAGGGACTTAACTCTGTGACACGGGAGAAGACAGTGGGAATAGTTCCAAGGCAGGTGCTACTGACAAAGGACACGATGCCCACCAGGTTCCAGGCTCCATCCTTCTGGCAGACCAGGGGCCCACCAGAGTCGCCCTGTGGGAGGAGAAGCACCTGTCTGCAAGTCTGAAAGGGGTCCTGGATCCTTGTGCACCCCCTCCTGGCTCAGACAGGTATTGCCAATAAATAAAATGCATGTACAGCGATACCTAGAAACTTCCATCTCCTCAAGGAGCACCCAATTTTGCACCTATCCCAGGGGCCTGTGGCTGTGGTCTGTAAATGGGCTGGAAAATCCAGCTCAGGGAGAGGGTATGAGAGTAAATCCCCTGGACAGCACCCCCATCATGGCCAGGGCCAGTCATCTGCTGGCTGTGTGTGAGTGCGTGTCCTGGCTCCACCAGGCACCATGCAAGACCTGAGCGTAAAGTGATAATGGGCAAGGAAGGGCCTCCAGCCTGATTGGGTAGGGGGAATCACATGGATAAGGGACCATACCATGCAGGAGGTGATGCCGTTGCCCCCTGCACAGACCATGATCTCGGGGATCCCTCTCTCCCAGAAGTTGTTGCACTCGGCATTGGACAGGAGGGGCACGATACCCTGCTGCAGCTTGTTGGAACCCATGCCTGGAACAACAGAGAGGCCAGGAGGGGTCAGGGCCCTCAGCCTCTAGCCCATTCTGGGAGGAGAGGACAAAATCCAAGAATGCTGCCCTCCCCGGTACCCCACTCACATCACTATTATCAAGGTGCTGGAACTCACACCCTGGTGCCCTTAAACCTTAGAAATCTCAGGGGTACCCGCCTTCTGATTTCACTGCAGTCGGTGCTAAATTTGCCGCAAGCACAGTTGGTGAAACCAGCCCTGCCTGCCCAGCCTGCTCTGGGGAAGGACCAGCCGGGTAGCCCTGGCCTGGGCAGGACTCAGGACGCTGGAGGAGACCATCACACAGGGGCAGCCCCAGGAAGGGGCGCCAGGCTGGACTCTCGGGTCCCTGACCACACCCTGGATACCTCTGGATACCTGAACCCCGCCCAGGTCTGGAAGGAGGCCCCAACTCCAGTCCCTGAGGCCTGGGAGACTTCAGCGCTGCTGGGGTCACTGTGGACAGGTGCAGGTGGTGAGTGGGGCGGGGCCTGCTGGGACTGAGCTGTGTCTCAGAACCTGACCCTGCAAGGCCATCATGGACCTCGGGTCCATTCATTTGGGTGGGTTTTCTCTAAGTGGGTTGTAAATAACACAGCGGAAACATTTATGACACTGTCCGTTGTCATAAACTCAAAGAGCAGAGTTACATGGGCCCCGCCTGCTGCACAGGTAGACCAGACCCCCCTCCTGGTGACAAGGCCAAGGTCACTCACCATGGAAATCGGTCCTGCCCCAGCCCGTGGTGACACACAGGGACCCGGCGGTGAAGTTGTCCTGAGCACTGGGCAGGCACACGGGGGACACGATGCTGGAGAAGCGGGCGGGCGTGGCCAGCTTCACCAGGGCGATGTCGTTGCTGGAGTTGTGCTTCTTAAAATTGGGGTTCGAAAAAACCTGTGGGTGAGGTCAGGAGGAGGAGGTGAGCTGTGGGATCCACCAGGGATCTGCAGGTTTGACGAGACAAACGCCTTCCTGGTGGGAATCAGAGGACACACCAGGGGCGCCCAAGGGAGACTCTGAGGCCCATCTGCTGCCTCGTGTCTCTTCCACGTCCTGCCCCAACCCCCAGCCCGGCGTACCTGAGCAATCCTCAGGACCTGCACATTCTCCCTTGATCTCTTGTCAAACATTCCAGCCACAACCAGGTGGGATGTGCTAGAGGAGGCAGGTGGGGTAAGGAAGGAGGACACGCCTGCTCCCCCACCCCCACTTTTGAACCTCCCTGGGCCTCACCTGACTTTACAGTGGGCGGCAGTGACCACCCAGGACTTGCTGATCAGGGACCCCCCGCAGAAGTGGAAGCCGCTGGTGTACTGGAGGAAGAAGGAGAGTTAGTGCTGGCAGGACACACCACACCCCCAGACAGAAGCCCACAGCTCTGGACACCTAGTGCAGGGTGACCCCACTCAGGTGCTGACTCCCCTCACCTGCAGAGACACCTGCCATGGCCAGGAGCCAGGGAAAGCGACTTTCCCATTGACGATCCTCTCTATGCCATTCAAAACTGGGGGAATGGCAGGGACCCCACAGCCTGGAGGGGAGAGGGGGAAGAAGAAGGGCTGAGGACCCACTCGGTCTGAGATCTGCTTTCCAGCTCAGCTATCACCACACCCACCTCACACTCCCCTACTCCAGGAAACATTCCCAGGCACCCCAATCCCAGGTTGGAGGTTCCCACAAACACAGATTGCTGTCCCCAGTCACCCCTCCAGGGATGCAGAGGGACAGGCAGCTCCAGCCGGGTCACCCTGCCCAGAGGAGCAGAAACAGGCTGAGGAATCAGGCCTCCCTGCCGTGCTACCTTGCTGGACACCTCTCATTTTCCCCAACAAGTGGGGAGTAAACACTGCTGCCCTCACAGGCAATGCTTGCCAAAGGGATTGGTGTGGACAGGAGGTGTGGGATCAAAACAGAGAACCCCAAATCCATTTGAAATCACCCCTCTCTCCTTTCCTGAGATGTGACTGTCCCCATTCACACTGCTGGACTCTCTGCTAGAATTTCTGAAACTGTTCATTGCATAACATTGAAGTTTCTTAATTATTAAATAAGACATGATCTTGATCCTCACCATAAAGACACATCAAGGAAACAGAAAACAGAGGACAAGATTGTCCAGAACAAGGAGGACACGCAGGGCCCTTGATACGTGCAGACACACTTGCTAGGTCAGGTCACAGGATCCTCAGCAGCTCCCAGGGGTGTGAGAACTTGGCCACAGGAAGAAAGGGGGTCAGGGCCAGTCCCTCCCACCAGCCAGGCCACACACCAGGGTCAGGGTCCCCCAGGTCTTGGTCCAGGCAGAATCTGGCCTTGTCCTTGGGGACAGGGACATGGCCAGGTAATTGGTAACTCCTCAAGCTGGTGTCTCCAAACATGTTGTCTCCTCTCCGTTTTTGTAAACATAATAAACCACTAGCAGGAGCTGTGAGGGGCTCACCCTGCAGAGGCTTCATAGTAATGGAGTGGGGGGCCGGGTCCCCTGTGCAGGGAGGAGCCTGAAATCTCACAGGAGTGGGGCCAGCAGGTGTGACAGGGACGGGCAGGAAATACAGGGAGGAGCTTCCCCCACTGAGCCCTGGTTCTGGTTATAAACAGGGAGTGAGTGTGTGAAGCTGCACAGAAGTGACAGGCAGGGGCTCAGCAGAGGCCCCTTCCCAGGAGAGGGGGAGCAGGGAGCTGCTGAGCCCAGTGTGGGTGTCAGAGAATCCCTACAGGAAATAGGGAGAGGTGAGGTGATACTTGCTAAATCCTGAGAAAGATACTTGGTTGCATTATTATTATTATTATTATTTATATTATTATTATTATTACTTTAACAGACACTAAAGCACTGAGTAAGTGCCTGGCACTAGCAGACCCCTCACAGCCTTTGTGCCCACAACCCCACATGAGCCTCCTCTAGGGCCTCTGTTCTCTAAGGAGCCCAGATGCTTCTTACTGAGGCCTGGCAGAGCGTTCAGGGCTCAGAAAGCCCTAGAAGCACCCCTCTCTCTCCTCCTGCAAATTCAGGTTGCCTGTCTGGTCCTGAAGCCCAGTGTGCAGGGAGGGAACTCAGAGCTCCCCTCACCTGGTGCCTGGTCCTCCCCAAACTGAGCGAGTCCCTTGTGATGGGGCCAGGCTGAGTCCATCGGGGGCTGAGTCCTCCTCCCCAGTCTGTCCCAGGCATGGCTGGTCCCTCAGACCCTACCACACTCACCAAAGGCGGCCCCGACGAGGGTGATGCAGGAGAGAAGCCAGAGGAGGGCCATAGCGGTGCAGGGGGAGAGCAGTGGGGCTGCCTGCTCTGGGGCTCCTTTTATATCTTGGTGTCCCCAAGCCCTGCCCAGGCCTTCCTGGTCCCCATTGACTTGAGGCCTTCCTCCCAGTTGTCATCTAAGGATCTAGGATGATCAGGAGCCTCCAAACAGCCTCCAGGCCTGTGGCCTGGGAGCAGGGCCGCTGCCTGGCTCACAGACACCTGTCAGCTGGTAACTCCTGGATCAAAGAATCCAGCTGGTCTGCAGGGGAATCCTGGGGGGATCCTGGTTCAACAAGGAGGTGGCAGGTGTGCAGCAAAGTCTCTTACAAGGGGACCCTCACTTTGGTGTTCTGGGCACCCAGAGCTGAGCACCCAGAAGCTGAATTTCGACACAGGCCACAGAGCCCAGGACTTCAGGCTGCTTCTCTATCTTTTCAGGCAAACTCCCTGAGGCAAGGAAAATTCACAAGACAGGAAGAGGCTCTGGTCCCTGCTGGGGTGGAGTCAGCACCAGCATGGAAAGGGCAGTTTCTGAGCACTTGAGGTCTCAACCAAATTCTTTCCCACTGCTGACTCACAGTGTATACAGCTACCAACTGCATCTGTCTTTATTTGCTAATCAATGAGGATTTGGCCCACACCATAGAGGGCCCATTAAGGACGCAGAAAGCTCAGGGCTGATGTCAAGAACATGGAGGGGAGCACAGGAAGGCCAGGAGGAGGGATGTGCCCAGGAGGCTCCTGCCCTAGGTGGGGCTCCTGCCTTAGGTGGGGGCACATGACCTCAGCTTTCAGGGAGGCCTTGTTCTAGATAGAGCACCTCTGCTGTTGGGATCCAGAGCAGTGAGAGAGATACTAACAAGTAAGAACATCACGTGACAGGTCCCCCAAGCAGGAGAGGCGGCTGCAGTCAGTGTTGGGGCTCCCTGGGGAGAGACCCCGTGGGAGAACTGAATTTTCTCCCAAGGCCTCGGCCTGTGCTCACCTGGGAGAAGCAGGTCAGAGGGAGCAGGCGGCTCCTGGGCTCTGGACAGTGACCCCGGGAGGAGCTCCTGGAGTGGGACATGTGATTTTTTGGGGAGACTGGTACCCCTGGACAAGGAGGAAGCGCAGGCCTGTCTGTTCTGCTCCCTCTGCATCTCCCCATCCTGCTGTCACTTCTAGCCTGTGTCATCCATGGAGCCCCCAGTGCAGCCCCCAAGGTGGGATGGGCCTCAGGGACACAGAGATGAGCAGCCCCCAGGGAGGGATTCAAACCAGGGGAGCTGCCAGCTGAGGGAGGGAGAGTAACAGAAGAGAGGAAGGCGCCAGAGCAGAGGAGGGGCAGATTCTGTGAGGGAAAACCATGAACAGAACATCAGTCAGTCATTTGAAAGAGTCAGGTTTAAGTAGAGCTCAAAAAGATGAGACTTGAAGGTGAAACCAAGAAGTATTACTCCTTTAAAGGAGAGTCCCAAAGGCTGAGCACCAAAGCCACCTCCTTTCTTTGAATATGGAGGCGAATATGTGTGACCAATCAATGATGTTTCTTAAGACTACATGGACTGTTATTTTATTTTATTATTTTTTAAAGATTTACTTATTTTTTTAAATACAAGAACCGGAGTACAGGCCTGATGTGCGGGAGGGTGAGAGGATTCACCAGAGACAGAGGAGGGAACAGAACAGGCAGACTGACAAAATACACTGCTGAGGGGAGCAGCGGGCGAGACAGGAGAGGTCTGCCTTAGAGGGACCCTCGCTGGCCGGCTGGGATCGAACCCGCACTGCAGGGGCTGCGGACAGCTTTGCAGCACGGCGCTCAACCACCTGCACCACTAGGGAGGCCCTGGACTATTATTTTAAATGACTTTTTTTTTTTTTGCTATTATGAAGGTAATATAGGTTCATTACAGAACATTTCTAAAATGCAGGAAATATTGAGTAAGAGAAAAATTAGATTCCTCCATGACACCTACCTGACCTGAAATATTAACTCTGTAGATGTTAACTGTGGACATTTTAGTGTGGTGACACTGCCTGAGGAGAGCTGTTACCTACTCCCCTAAATTATATACAGTGTTGTAAACTGTAGATACCCCAGAGAATTGCAGAAGAAAAATAAAGATGTACAGTTTTTCTTACGAAAAATAAAATGAAATTCTTCCCATTCCTTTAAAATCTCAAATGAATACTTATGACCTAGATTTACCAACACTGTGGTATATTTTCTAGATATTTCCACAAAGTAGGATCTGGAAGTGAAAAACAAATTTTTTTTTAAAAGATTTATCTATTTATGCATACACGAGCTGGGGTACAGGCCAGAGGTGGGGGTGTATGTGAGAGGATTCACCAGAGACAGAGTGGGGAACAGAACAGGCAGACTGATGAAATACACTGCTGAGGGGAGCAGTGGGCGAGACAGGAGAGGTCTGCTGTGCCATGTGGGTTTCTCCCTGGCCAGGCTGGGAATCAAATTCATGCTGCAGAGGCTGCAGATTGCCTCACAGTGCTGTGCTCAACCGCTTGCGCCACCAGGGAGGCCCGAAAAACAAATATACTGTTGTTGCCCATGTGTACGACGCATCAGAGTGTAAGGTTTATATTTTTCATTAAGGTTGAGTGTGTATTATGTGTCACTGTGCTGCTGCCCACTTGACCTTATGCTGTGAGCATCTTTCCAGATCTGTGAAAGTCATGCCCTGCCCTGGCAGCCCAGAGGACCGTGAGTGAACAACCCCCCGTGGCGCCTTCCTCATGAGAGAGCCCCATGGACACGGGGAGCCCCTCTCGGGCTGGTCAGGAAAAGCGCCCCAGCTCCTGCTTGGGGCCAGAGGGCAGCGCTGTTCAGTGAGGAGGGACAGTGGTCATGGAAGGGAGCATCTGACCTACGTGACAGGCACCAGGGAGGAGCTGAAGTGGACATGCCGACTGGACTGGAGGCCCCAGGGAGGACAGACAGAGAAGCAGCTGGAATGTGCTTCGGGCCCCTCTGGGCTGTTCCAACAGAGCCACAGGCCCGCCACGCTGCCCTCTGTCCTCTCTCCATCTGGCTGGAGCTCAGACAGGATCCTGGCGCCCCAGGCACTGGGGAAAGGGGGAGCAGCCAGTGTGTGGGGCTGCAAGGCTGCCCTGCAGGTGCTGCCCTGCCCAGCCCCCACCTTGGATTCTCTGGGGAAGCATGAGCTCCCTCTCCTTGAGACCTCAACAGGTGGAGCTGGGCCTCCTGGTCCAGGGCTGGAGCAGCCTGTCAGGACACCTGCTGCGAGTTTCTGCTGATGACTCAGAATGAATTGCTGCAGCACAATGATGGGATCACAGAATCTGGATATTTTTAAAGTTTTGCTGCCTACTTCTTATTTATTTATTTATTTTTGCCACTAATAATTACCATCTATGAGAACCCACTTCACCTATTCTTTGAGAACAGGATCCCAGACTTCACATTTTTGTCAATTTTGTGGTGGTATTTATGGAGATTAAGAGTAGAAAAGTTGGAGGGCCTCCCTGGTGGTGCAAGGGGTTAAGACACAACCTATGAAGCTGTCTGCAGCCACTGCAGCTCGAGTTCGATCCTGGGCAGGGAGCTACCCACATGGCACGGCAGACCCGTCCTGTCTCAACCGCTGCTCCCCTTAGTGTATTTCTGTACATCTGCCTGTTGTGCAGATGAATCCTCTCATCTCCCGCATCTCTGGCCAGCACCCCAGACTTTGTGTGCATAAATAAATAAATCTTAAAAAAAAAAAGAGTAGAAAAGTTGGAAAGGAGAAACTCTAAGACCAGAAACCTGGCTCAGTAATGCAGGAAGCTAGAGGTGGGGGTGGACGTGATTAGCAGAGTCATTGAACTGGGGCTATAGAAATGAAAATTCCTTAGGGCTAGCCTTTATCTCAGGAGGCACAGACCTAAGCTGGCATCAGACTGCTGCAGGGTGTCACAGGGGGTGACCAGAGGGAGGATATGTAGACCGAGGACATAATTATTCAAAAGAAACCAAAGATAAAAACTCCACAAAGGAAAGAGCCCTCCCAGACTGCAGAAGCCTGTGTCAGGGCAATGTCTGCACTGGTCCGGGGGCAGCAGCCCTTCTGCTCACCTGTGACCTGTGACCTAGCTGCGGCTTCTCTTCACTGACCTTCTCCCTGTGCAAAGCACAGAGTCACCCCTCCTCCCCTGGCTGCTGCCCGCACCATGCAGGCCTCTTAGCAAACCTGTCCCTTTCAGGGGCAGCTGTTTCCGCCTGCTTGCATCTACACAAGTGACCTTTATTCTTCCATCCCTTTTACAATAAACCTGCCCTTTATATACAACTAATGTCTCTATATCATGGCGAGACAGGCCTGGGAATCTCACTTGGTGCTGCTGAAAGGGGAGAGCTGGTGAGACTTTTCCCAGAGTTAACCCAAGGACCTGACTCTCCAAGCCCAACATCTCCAAAATGACCTATATCATTACTAAATTTAAAATCCAGGCCCCCATTCCTTGCCCAGCAGGCAAGTTGGGGAGGCTTGAATGGATAAAGGGAGTGGACGGGACCCCGTGGAACCGGGACATGAAGCTGAGGATCCTCTCTGCTCATTCAGAGCATCATCAGGACATGCCCAAGACTAGTCTCCCCACCGGCCAGATGCCTGGGGTGTCATAAACCCAGGGCCCTCCCTCCCCTGCTTTCTGCCTTCAAAAATTGCCACCGGCTGGCTCTGTACCTGCCCAACACAAACCCACCTGGCACCGGGACTGTGCTCCCACACTTGACTTCTGCCCACACAGCTGGGTGCCAGGATGCTCATTAGCCTCCCTGAGACACCCCTCAGCCCAGGCTGTACAGGGGCCCAGGATATAGGTGCTTGCAGGGGCTTCTGGGGTCTAAGGTGCCAGCTGAGCCCTGAGCACCCAGAGACTCTCAACACTTTGTTCCACCAGCAGCAGAAACACCGAAGCAACCAGTCCTGAGTTCACCCTCTACTCCCAGCTCTATGAGGGCGTACACCTCACCTGTGTCAGGGTCCCTACTAGAGAGTGACA